GATTTAAACATGGATCGAAGTAACACTTTGCATGTGGACATAAGCCTCAGAACACAGCTATGGAATAGGAAGGTTTTAATACAGATGTTATACAGTCATGTCCATGAGATACATCCACAGTGTCGTGGATGTATCTTTCTTCTTCTTAATTGCATATCCCAACTTACCCAATCTGTTGATGAACATCTGGGTTTTTCTAGTTTGGGGCTATAATGGGTAAAGCTGCTATGACATTTTTATTCATTTTTTTGAGGATATAAGTATTTGTTCCTGACGAGTGTATATCCAGAAGTAGAACTGCCAGCTCACAGAATATATGTATGTATAACTTTAGTAGATCCTATCAACCAGTTTTCCAAAAAGCCTGTACCAAGTTGGTCCGAGGGTTGTGGATTATCGTTAAGCTGATTAACAAAAAGCCTGTGCCAATTTATACTTCCACAAACAAGGAAGGAGGTCCAGTTCTCCACCCTCTTGCTAACGTTTTGAATCATCAGTCTTTTAAATTTCAATTATTCTAGTGGGTAAGTAGCGATATAGCAGTGTGGTTTTGTTTGCATTCCTTTGATGACTAATGATATCGAGCACCTCTTATATGTTTATGGACCATACGAATGTCCACATTTGTGAAAGGTCTGTTCAGAGTCTTGTATTTAAAAAAAATAATTTTGGGGGCGGCTGGGTGGCTCAGTCAGTTAAGTGTTTGACTTCGGCTCAGGTCATGATCTCGTGGTCAGTGAGTTCGAGCCCCGTGTCGGGCTCTGTGCTGACAGCTCAGAGCCTGGGGCCTGATTCAGATTCTGTCTCCCTCTCTCTCTGCCCCTCCCAAGATCATGCTTTGTTCTCTGTCTCTCAAAAATGAATAAATGTTAAAAATTTTTTAAATAACTTCTAATGAGATAATGCACATAAAACTAAGCATTATAAGGCATCCATTTCAGTGGTTTTTAGTATATATGCAAGAATGTGCATTATGTAAGTCCAGAGCATTTCTGTCACCCTAGACAAGAAACCCTTTACTCATTAAGCAATCACTCCCAATTCTCCCCTCCCCCCACTTACTGGCAACCTCTAATCTGCCTTCCCGTCTATATGGATCTGTCTATCTTGGACATTTCGTATCATTGGAGTATGTCTGGCTTATTTCATTTAGCATGCTTTCACGTTTCATCCATGTTGCAGCATTTATCAGAATTTCATTCTTTTTTTTTTTTTTTTAATGTTTATGTTTGAGAGGAAGAGACAGGGCATGAGTGGGGGAGGGGCAGAAAGAGAGGGAGACACAGAATCCAAAGCAGGCTCCAGGCTCTGAGCTGTCAGCACAGAGCCTGACACAGGGCTCCAACTCACAAACTGTGAGATCATGGCCTGAGCTGAAGTTGGACCCTTAACCGACTGAGCCACCCAGGCGCCCCTCACGTGTGAGTTTTTATGTGAACATGTGTTTTCACTTTAGACGGGCGTATACCTAGGAGTGGATTTGTTGGGTCATATGGTGACAGTTCCGTTCAACTTTCTGAGGAACTGCCAAACTTTTCCACAGCAGCTGCACCAGTTTACATTTCCACCAGCAAAGCATGGGGTGGAGGGGGCTGTTTTTTACAAGCAAAAACTGGAGATACCCTATATATGCAATAATAGGAGGTTGGTTTAATAAATTGTGATAGTACATAGTATAGAATAATACTGAAGCTGTTATCACAAAACAGATCTGTAAGTACTTACAATAAATAAGGTGAAAAAAGCAAATAGCTAACAGCCTTATTTGTGTAACTCACAAAGGTTTATCTGTGGTGTCAGAAGAGTCTGGAAGAACATGCACCAAATCTAAATAAGGGGAAAAATCACAGAGCAGGTAGTAGGGACTTTCACTTCTGACTTTCTATTTTTGGCTTGTACTCTTACAAATAAACATAGGATGGTGGGTTGTTCAGTAATTTTCAAATTATATATTTAGGTGAAACATTGCAAAGAAATTTTGTTCTTGGCATGGAGTTAGGGGAAGGTTTGAGAAGTTCTATGGATGATCTCAGAAACACTTCATGTCAAGGCTTGTTAAAATGGGACATTTTAATCTTTTTCTCCTCAAAATGTTCATTGAGGCATTTGTCCTAGGTGGGAAAAGTTCTCTCACCTTAAAAAGGATTATTGACCGTAAGTATAGTAGAATGCACTGAGATTAAATTTAGCCATGATATAGATGCTAAGTGAAAAACATGAATATAATAAAATATTAAAACTATAAAATGTATTCTTGCATAAGCTAAAATGTGGACAGGAGTCTCTCTGGGCAGAGGGATTATAGGTGATTATTTTCTTCGTTATACCTTTTTGATTTTTCCAGACTCTACAATGCCCATGTATAATATTTATCATTTTAAATACTGCAGTGTTTCACATTTAGTTTGTGGCTTGCCTGTGCTTAACAAGCAGATCTAAAATGCTACCTGTGTGAAGCTATTTTAAGGTTGGTATGTCTCAAAACTTGTGGTCTCTGTTAGAAAATGGTGTTTTCCAAGAATATGCAATGGCATTATTAAGCAAAAAACTACTAAAGTTCAAAATTGTATATGCCATACAGTTCAAATTTTTTTTAAAAAGTATTAGGGGGGGATGGGCATGGAGGAGGACACTTGTGGGGATGAGCACTGAGTGTTATGTGGAAACTAATTTGACAATAAACTATTTGTAAAAAAAAATGTATTAATATATACTTATGAAGACACTAGAAGAAAACGTAAAATGTTAACAGCAGTCACTTCATTAGTATAGGGCATGCAGGTGATTGTCCCTCCTCGTGTCCTTCTGTTTCCAATTATTTATAATAAACATGAACAGCTCTTATCATTTGAAAGAGTTTAAAATTCAGCTTCTCTTTCCAGATTTGGAATATTGGCATTTTTTTCTCCTTCCCTTTCTCTTGCTCTGCCACACCGCCTAGCAATCCTTGTATTCCTTCTCCCCGTAGGCCCTGAGGTTTCTTCTCTCCTTCCATTTCCGCAGCTGCTACTCCATTCAGAGCTGGTTTCCTCTTTCCCAGAACACGGTAACAGTCTCTTAGCCTAGTTGATTTTCCTCTGTACATTCTCTCTCTGACCTACTTCTGGAAGCACAAATGCTGAAATAATCCACTTGAATGACGCTGCTCCCTTGCTGAAAAACCCATGGCTCCCCTTCCTAATGCTATTAGTTGGAGTCCTCAGTATGACCTTGTAACTGGCAGGCATGGCAGTGGCGGGCAACCTCACCGGGTCCTCGCCAAAGTCCAGTGGGCAGGCCCTTGCACGCTCTTTACCTCACGCTTTATGCAAAGGCAGAGCAGACTGGTTGTGCCAGCTCCATGGTTAAGTGTTGTGGAGTCCCACTACACACAGATTTAGGCTCCACCACTGACCTTGAACACACTGAACCTCCGGCACGTCCTCAGCTGTGACACAGATGTCTGCCTCCTCCCGGGGCGGCTGTGAGCAGTCAGGGCCAAGCACTGCATGGTGGTCAGTAGCTGTTTCCCTCCTGGTCTTTCATCCTTAAGGGACTGTCCTCTACTCCTCTGTTACTTAGAGATCTCAGGAACTATCAGCTGCACCTTTGTTGTGGGAGAGTTCAACCCAATTTGTGAGCTCCCCTTTCTTTCTCCAGCCCCATGGTGACCTCTGCATGGTGGACATCCCACCTTAGAAGTGTCCCCGCTGCCACCTGTCCCAGAAATGCATTCCTCTCAAATTTGGCTCCTTTGAAATGTTGAAACCAGTGCCCCCAAATATGTTTATAGTCAGGGGATTATTTCTTTGAATCTTGATGTGCCCCGCTCTTTGGAACACCTATTAAATTCGCTGGCCCACGATGGCTGCTCCCTCTCCTTCTTACCCTCTTGCCCTCATCTCCAGGAGTGGCACCGTACCACCTCGCCTCCCCAACAGAAACCCAAAAGTCACGGTGGACATCTCTCCCTTCTTGTCCCCACTTGTCGCCAAGCCTGGGCCCTTCTTCCTGAGCCTGGTCCAGATCCACCCTACACCATTGTTTCAAGTAAGGCCTTCATCGTGTTCTGCCTGAAATGTGGCTCTAGGTTCACTTCTGCCTTTTCCGTATCTCTAGCCTCCTCGCCCTGCCCCCTTCCCACTGCTCTGCTGCTGCTGCTGTAGACACTCACAGGGCAGCTTAACATCTATGGAGCACTCACTGTATTCCAGCCTTGAGATTGGCTTTATGAACTGTCTCTTCCAATTCCCCTGATGACCCTGTGACACTACATGTTAAGATCCTATGTGATCAATCAGCAAAGATCCAGAGAGCTCAAAGGAATTTGCCTAAGTAATGGGGCCAGGATCTGGTCAGCTAGAGCCAGCACCCTTAGCCACCAGATGGTTTTGCCTCTGCAAGTTTGCCCTTCCTTCAGTGGCCTGGGCCTGTCTGTTGACCTCTTGATGGACAGACAGGGAGCCTGGGTCTTTGGCTGTCAAATGTTTAGTAAGTGGGATGTGTCCCTTGCAGAGAACCAATACTATGTTTACTCGGCCTTACGGCAGCAGTTGGGATCAGGTCCTACCATTTTCTGACTCTTTATTCCAAAAGTTTACCCTTAGAGGCAGAATATTTTTTAAGTTTTAAATTATAGTATCCATTACAACAATGCTTTCCACTGCAAAGCCCCACAGGATTAATAATGTGCTGCAGAGATCAATTGTGTCTGTGTCTGAAGCTGCCAAAACAGCCAGTTAAATGGTAGCCCCAGAAAACCTATTGTCTGATGCTTTCTTACTGATTACATAAAGGAGTTGGTGTTGACCCAGCAGCATGTTGTAATAAATCAAAGGTTATATATTAACTGCATATACTTCATCCCACATGCAGAAGTCTGAGCAACCATCATGATGAAAGGAAGATAAGATTTTAAAAAGCTGTTTCTGTTGGCTTTTCTCATGCATATACTTCACTTTCTCTCTTTCTCTTTTTTTTCTCTCTCTCTCTCTCTTTCAGCTTCATTTTGGATTTTAAAAATGTGTGATCAGACCTTTCTAGTTAATGTATTTGGCTCCTGTGACAAATGTTTCAAACAACGGGCTCTGAGACCAGTTTTCAAGAAATCCCAACAGCTCAGCTACTGCTCAATGTGTGCAGAAATTGTAAGTGCCACCTTTTAAAAATTTAAGTAGTTCCTTGCTTTCAAATGATGTCTAATGTTTGGGTCCTATGACAGATGAGTTTACATGCACACACATTTCAGTACACTTGGGCACAGTGAGGCAGTACAGCATGGGGGTTCAGGGTGTGGACGCTCATCTCTGACCTCCTGAGTTCAGATCCTACTTGTGTTCCTTGGTGGTGGTGTGCCAGCAGATCTCAACTCTCTTAGGAGGTAGGTTTCCCCAGATGTAAAACAGGAATAATAGCATATATCTCATAGGGCTTTGTAAGAATCAAATGAGTTAATTTGATGAAGTGTTTATGGTTTTCTAAAAGTTTATTTATTTTGAGAGAGAGAAAAAGGAAGAGAACCCCAGGCAGGCTCTGCACCGTCAGTGTGGAGGCCAGTGCAGGGCTTGAACCCATGAACTGTGAGATCATGACCTGAACTGAATTCAGATGCTTAACTGACTGAACCACCCAGGTTCCCCTGATAAAGTGCTTAAAACAGTACCCAGCACAGCATGTGCTCAATGAATGTTTTAGCTATTATTGTTATTTTTTAGAACTAACGTTTTTTGCTTCTGCTTTCTACTAGTCTGCTTGGCAAGCAACCAAGCTAAAAGGGACTCTGGCAAATAAACAGCCTGGAAGTATCTCTCCAAAGGCCTTGGTCCAGCTTTCCCTAGGAACAGCTCTATTAAAGACTGAACCCTATAGGGCTTCAGTAGTAAGCAACATTAAGTTCAGGAAAAAGTGCTCCTTAGGCCTGAGACTTCACTGAGGACTAGCGATTGAATATAAATTCTGGCATTTTTCAAAGAACACAAATCAGTCCTCACTAGAGGTGACTATGCACCCATTTTATTCACATATTGCAGCAAAATGCCCATAGCATGGCTGAAGCCCTTGAAATTAGTCCCATCTCAGAGGATTTGCAAAGCTGGGCTCAGTAATGCCACTGAGCAGAGCCCTCACCTGGTCAAAAGTGGTAGAGCACTCTTCTCCAGAAGCCCAGTAGGAAACCCCCAATTCTCAACACATTTTAAAAACCATGCATCAAAGAGAGGAGAAGGAATTTTTACATTTTATCCACCTAAAGAGGAAGAGACAGTATTCATCCTCTTGGTTCCATTGTAACCCCTGACAGTGATTTCATTTACAGAAAGTATTCTCATAAAGCAATGGCAAATCAACAGCACAAAGTGGCACACAGACATTGGAAAAGCAGAACAATTCTGATGTCACAAGATTCGGGCTTAGTAGAACGGGCTTCTACCTGAAGTGCCTTGTATTCTAAGCTTGGCTCTGCAAATCGTCAATCTGAGGACATTTAGTTCTTAAAAGACACCTGCTTTCCATTGGCCCTGCCATCCTGGAACAGTGTTATTTGTGAATCTAGCTCTTCTGTCTTTTAAACATCTGCTTCTGTGGACAGAAGGAGCCCAGAATCCCCATCGTCACATCCTCTAGCATCATAGATTCCCCCAGGTCAGAGGTGCTTTTCAGGAAATGGTCACAGGCTATCTCCACCATAAGCACTTGATGGTTGCCAATTTATTCAGACACTCTTCTGTGGCTGAGGAGACATCCAAGTGACTGACAGCTAATTTTTATCTGGGTGTTTGGGATTATGAGCCCCCACTGGACCTTTGTCATAAATAAGAGGCAACCCTGTAACTCCACTCCTGCTGAAAGTAGCAGACCTCAGCTTTTCTGCTCTCCAGCGTCCTTACCTAGAAACAGGAGTGGAAACCAAAGTACAGGAAGGCACTTTGTAAACTTTCCCAGCTATTCAAAAGTTGCATGGCCTCATCTCCATGGAAGATAGGAAGACCCTCCAGACTGGGGGATACTTGGGGTTTCTTTTACAGAGAGAACACGCTTCCAGAGGAGGCCAAGCTCCAGCGTGAAGCTGCGCTTGCTCCAGATCACACACAGGCAGACCTTGAGCAGGCACACTTGGCCTATGATGGGCCATGAGGCACCAGCCTGAGGAAGTGATGGGAAGATGCTGGCCAGGCCTTTTTTTTTTTTTTTTTTAATGTCTTATTTATTTCTGAGAGAGAGAGAGACAGCGTGATCAGGGGAGGGTCAGAGAGAGAGGGAGTCACAGACTCTGAAACAGGCTCCAGGCTCTGAACTGGCAGTCAGCACAGAGCCCGATGCGGGGCTCGAACCCACGAACCGCGAGATCATGACCTAAGCGAAAGTCGGACGCTTAACCAACTGAACCACCCAGGCGCCCCTGGCCAGGCCTTCTGAGGTGACCTTGGTGAGAAATGTCTCCCATGGCCTAGTGTCTCATTTAAATTACTTCCTGTGAATTGCTCAAATGTATCAGGGAGCCTTAATTTTGAGCAAATACTATGTGTCATGGGAGGCTCTACCTGGTCACCCCTGATGAGTCTCTCTGAGGCGGTGTTTTCCATTTCTAGAGGAGGAGCCTGAGACCCAGAGAAGTCAAGTAGATCACCCAAGGCCACACAGCACAGCCAGGAGTTATCCTCAGGCAGTATGATCTCGATGGAACCCCTGCTCTTACACTTCTGCTCTACAAACTCTGAAGCAGATGTAGTATTTTCACTATTATAAATAGTTGTATATATCTATTTACACATTGATATTCTATATATTTGTTTTATTTTTAATTATACATTTTATATATTGTTTTATACATCCACTTGATAAACTAACACTAACTGAGCACCTACCATATACCAGTTATTCTAAATACTGAGGATAAATGATGAATAAACCTGTATCAATGGGGAGGGAAAAGGGAGCTGGTGGTTAGAACACATCTGCTATGATGGTGGTGTCTGTTAAGAGGTTCATTCACGTTATTGTATTTAATTCTCATAACAGCCCTATGAAGTAAATGTTCTGGATAAGGAAACTGTGGAGCCCAGAATCTAACCCCTTAGACAATCACGCATAGATTAATATAGATTACTTCCAACTTTTCTTTGGTGAAGAGCCATCCAGGACAGCAAGTGGAGGGAAGGAAGGGTGGGAACGGCCCCCAAAATCCTGCTTGGGAATGTTTGTTCTAGAATTTGTAACCTTGATCTGCCTTCCCATTTTGCAAGCACGTGCACGCACGCGCGCGCGCACACACACACACGGTCATGGAGGGGCTAAAGGCAGAAGCCATGGGTTGGGTCCTCCACATTGAAGTCTGAAGGCATATAGCTGAATGGAGCCAGACTGCCTAGGTCCAAATTCTGCGTTTGCCTCTTTCTGGGAGTGTGACTCAAGCAGCTCATTTAGCCTTTCCGAGCCTCAACTTCCTCATTTGTAAAATGGGGAGAATAGTATCCATTCAGGGTGACTGTTGTGATTTATTAACCAAGTACTTGGAACGGCGCCTGGCATTGCAGAGGACTGGGAAAACGAGATGCTTGAGCCTGCCTTAAAGTCCCTAAATTTGAATCTTTGAGAGAATCCTAGGGATCTTCCATTCTAAGGTGAAGGAAGCTGGCTCAGAAACGACACAGCTGAGATCACTGAGTGTGGGTTCAAAAACCCTGGGTCTGGGCCCCAGAATGCTAACCCCACCCCTGCCACCAACCTCCTTTTGCTGACACTAGGCCCGGCACTTAATTCTCGTGTGGAAAAAAGGAAAAGCAAAACCCGTAGTGTGCCGTCCGAGTGTCGTACACTACAGCTTCTCAGAAGCCAGAATGAGTTTTATTTTCGTATATTTAAGTCAACAAAGGAGGAATGTTTCCGGTTCTTTGTGGGGGAGGGTGGGGAACCAGAGCTCCCCAGGACGAGGCTAGGAATCCGGGGTGGGTGCGGACCAGGCCTCGTTGCCCTCTCCCTGCCCATCTACTCTGCAAGTAGCAGCCACCCGGCAGCCTATCAAGTCCCACTGAGAGCTGATCAGTGCCAGGGAGGGGGCAGGTAGGAAGGCCGTGTCCCTGGGACGTCCCTGGGTCCTAGGAGCCAGTAAGTCCTGGACTGGAATCCCGTTTGGTCCTTCACTACATGTGTGCGAAGTCACGTTTTCGCCTCTGAGCCTCGGTTTTCCCACCGGTAAAAGGGGCACGACACTGCCTGCTTTTCCGAGAGGTGTGCGCCGCAGCGCCACCGCGTGCATCGCCCCGGGCACAGCGCCAGGCGCGCGCCGCAGGTGCCAGGGCGGGGGGCGCGGAAGGGGTGCGGAGGGGCGCGGGCGAGCGGAGCCGCGAGGGGGGAGTCGGCCGCCGCAGCCAGGCTCGCAGCCGCCCGCGTCAGCGCCGGAGGGCGGGGCCGCGCTCGGGGAGCAGGCGGCTGGAGCTGCGCCGGGAGCCGCGCCCGCCCCCTCGCCGGCCAGGCCGCCGCCGCCGCTCACCCGCCACCCCGCTCTCGGCTTCCCTCCCCGCCGCGTCCTGGCGCGAAGATGGCAACCGACGGGCTGCACGAGAACCAGACGCTGGCATCGCTGAAGACCGAGGCCGAGAGCCTCAAGGGCAAACTGGAGGAGGAGCGGGCCAAGCTGCACGACGTGGAGCGTGAGTGCGGGCCGGGGCGGGGGCTGCGCGCCGGGAGGCGGGCCGAGGGACTCAGACCGGCCTCCCTGGGGGAGCGGGATTAGGGGTGCTGGGCCGCGGGCCGCAGCCAGGTCTGCGCCCGGGATGGGCCCCCAGGTTCCAGGGCGTCAGGCGAGCCGTGGTTTGCGGCCCGGAGCCCCCGGTTGCGCGGCTGTGGGCCCCGAGCCGGGCTGCCCTCGGAGGCGCCGGACACCTTGCAGAGACCCGCCCGCTTAGCGGAGGCCGTTCCGCCTCTGGGCGGGGGCGCCTGGTGGTAGCCGCCTCTGGCCGCCGCTCCAACCTCGTAGGGTCTTGGGATGAGTTCTCTCCATCACCAGCCTGGAAGATGCGAACTGATTGCATTCCTGCCGGGGCTGAGAGCCCCGGGGAACCGGGTGGGGTGGGGTGTCAGCGGCAGCAAGCGCAGCGAGCCCTTGTGGGCGCGGCCTAGGGTAAACTCCTGTTCTGTTTTTTAATCATTTGGCTGTCTCCATCGCTGTTGTTTCTTTTCTCAGTTTTGCTTTTCCAAGGAACCAGACTCTTGAGTTAAAACCTAATTTTTCCAATCTGCCCCCTTTCCTTGGGAGTGGAGAACCGGGTGGGGGAAGGAAAGCAGAGGAGCCTACCAAATCCTACCGTTTACTTCACTTAAGGCTGTTTAAGAAGCTTTTGAATGGATGCAGTATGATTGGCATGAAAGAGCAACAGCAATCTTAAACAACGTACTTATTGACCACTACCGTTAATTCAGAACCGGCTTCGTGATTTTTGTGAGGGAGCAGTTAAGTAACCAGGTAAACTGACTCTTGGCGGGATCAGCTTCCCTTTACTCTGTCAGATGGTTTGTCCTCAGCAGTTTGGGCTCAGAGCCAGGCTTGGGGTAGTGGCATTATCTGATTATTTTTTCAGCTCCCAGGATGGCAGCTCCCCTTTGCTGAGCACAGCCTCCCCATGGTACCCTCAGGCACAGCTGTACATCTGCTCCTACGCCTCCTATAAAAGGCCAGCCCTTTTATATTGTTTGGAAAAGAAACATGGGGTTCATGCTGGGTCGTTTAGCACCTGATTCCTTTCTTGATAGAAGCAGTTGACTGTGTGCTGTGCTTTTTTTTACACGGGCCTCCTTCAGAGACACGCTAAACCCCTATATCATTTAGGGATGTGTCCAGCTACAATGAACTATAGACCCCAAATAAAGTAGCTAAGCAGATTGGGAGCTGTTTTCCTTGTTTAACAGGAACAAGGGTAGGTGACCACCAGCTTTGGTTCAGCAGCTCAGGGTGCCATCGGGGACCCACCCTCCAGTCTTTCTTCTCCACCACCACCCTGGGAACACTGGCATTTGCCCCCATGATTACTGTATGAACAACCACAGCTCCAAACATCACCTCTGTATCCAGGACCACCAGCCTCTTTTTCTCCTTCTTATCAGGAAAGCAAAAGTTTTCCCCAAATCCTCCCTTCTTCCAACAGATTTTGTACTTTATTGGCCAGAAGTAGGTTACATCGCTACCACAAGGGAGTCTGGGAAAGGAAGAACTGAGTTGGGCACATTGTCATCCCCAAATAAAGTTGGGTTCCTGTTATTAGGAAGCAGTAGGGAATGGAAATTGGGAGGCAGTGGACAGAGTCTGCCTCATTTCCCTCTGCAAATCCCTACATTCTGCAGATGATGTCGATGATGCTGTACGTGTGGTGTTAGTGCTTCTGAGGTAGGTCGTCTGACTTCTGCATTTTACAGATGAGGAAACTGAGCACTGCAGTCAGTGGGTGGTGGCACTAAGATTCCAGCCCAGACAGCCAGAACTCCAGCCCAGCCTCGCTTCAGCTTTTTGCCTAACCCCTCTGGGCTCTGTGCAGAGGAGATTCTCCAGAAACTCTCTTGATCAACAGTGAAGACAGCCCACTAGGAATCTGTTAGCCTTTTCTGTGACTTGGGAAATGACCTTAAGGCAGAGAGCTCTTCAAGGTAGAGTTTTTCAGCAAAGACCCATGTCCTGCCAAGGATGCAGTACCCTCAGAGGCCAGAGCCAACTTTTGGAACCACAGTGGAAAAATCTACCCCCACCTGCATGTAAGTTAGAATCTTAGAATTCCAAAAGACCAGAAGTCATACGGCTGTGTTCCCCTTTACTCCCCCTGAAGCTTCCACGTCACTTCTCCTGTACTCCTGTATAAAACCTTTTCTCCTTGGAAGTTCCTGTCATTCAACTGACATCTGTTTTCCCCTCCTCCATGCTGCTGCCTGCTGGCCTCCCAGCCAGGCTGCCTCATTTCTTAAGGACTTTGTTTGGCACATGGCTTGAGACTTCCTTGCCTCCGCCCTGCTCCATTCCTGGTGTCTTCACAAGGGTGATTGTCCTAACATGCTGGCCTCTCTCTCCCTCTCCATCACAGTCTCCTGGATCCCTTTGGAACTCAGAGCTGCTCCCCTCTTCTGACCAGCCCTCACCCCCCCCCCCACCCAAACACACACCCAGAGATGTCCATGATCTAGATCACTAGACTCTTCTCTCTTCCAATCTCTCAGCCTCTTAATGAGCCTGCCATTCTTGCATTTGGGTAGTGTTAGATAGATGGCCCTGTAGCCCCTGCTCCAACTCCGGAAGCCTTTTCAGGCCACAAGCTAAGATGACCAAGTCATCCTGGTTTGCCTGGGACTCCAGTTTTAAAATGGACAGTCCTGCATTCTGGAAAACCCTTTAGTCCTGGGCAAACTGGGACAGTTGATCAGCCTTCTGTTAGCTCTGACTTGCCCAAATTCTTGCCTAAAAACACAACAAAATAGTAGAGCATGAACTTGGAGGAAAAGCAAACCGTACCCAACTCTGCACCCTCACTTCTTCAGCTCCTCTCCTTTGATCCTCAGACCAGCATCCGTACTGTTGAGCCCTCGTCCCCAAGTCAGACCCTTGGCTAACATTACATAGAGGAAGTGGCTGATACGGTTGGCTCAAGGGGAAGCCTGGCTACATCAGACTTCAGAGCCCCAGCCCTAGTGCTCCTGCCTTTCCCCATCCTTCCCTAGAGCTTCTTCCTTCTCCCAGATGTTTCCCCTTATTGCCTTCTGCTTACCTTCTTTCATGGGTAAGTGCTCCCTTGCTTGATTCTAAGACATTTTAAAATCATGAGGTATAATATTTAGCTTGTATTAGTTTCCTATTGATGTTATACAAATTTCCCGGAACATGGCTTAAGGCAACATACATTTATTCTCTTATAGTTCTGGAAGTCAGAGGTCTAAACTGGGTCAGTCGGACTTTATTCCTTCTGGAAGCTTTAGGGGAGAGTCCCTTCCTTGTCTTGTTCAGCTTCTAGAGGCCACTTGCAATCTTGGCTTGTGACCCCACATCCTCTGACCTCCTTTCTCTCATCACATCTTGACTCTGGTCTCCCTGCCTCCCTCTTACAAGGACCTTGTGATTACAGTGGGTATACCTGTATAAACCAGAACAGTCATCCCATCTCAGAGCCCTTAACTTAATCACATCTCAGAGCCCGTTGTGCGGTGTAAGGTAACATAATCACAGGTTCCAAGGATTAAGACATAGACGTCTTAGGTCTTATCACACAGCTCTCAAAACTAGAAGGGTCACCTGCTTCAGCCTCAGTCCTCAGGCACAAAACGTTTCCTTTTGTCTCTGCGCAGCCCATATGGATGAGGAGACCGCTGAGGTCCAGGAGGAGTTCTATTCCTTCAGCTGCCCTAAAGTTCTGCAGCTACTCTAGGGGAGAATGGGGAGCAGACTCCTAGTATATAGCTCTCCTTCTCACCCTGCTGGGCCGTCATTCACACAGGTGAGATTTACATTAAAAATTAAAAAAAAAAAAAAAAAAAAGAGGGGCACCCAGGTGGCTCAGTCAGTTAAGCATCTGACTTTGGCTCAGGTCATGATCTTGCAGTCCGTGGGTTCGAGCCCCTGTCTGGCTCTGCACTGACAGCTCAGAACTTGGAGCCCGCTTCGGATTCTGTGTCTCCCTCTTTCTCTGCCCCTCCCCTTCTTGCACTCCATCTCTCTCTCTGTGTCTCTCAAAAATAAATAAATATTAAAAAAATTTTAAAGGAAAAAAAATCCATGCATGTGTATGAAAAGGTTTCAATATTAAGTTTTAAAAAGTCCCAAACAGTATATATAACATGATCTCATTAGCTTAAACAAGAGATGCTTGTGTATGCATTGAGTTTGTGGCAGGATACACAAGAAACTTGTTATCTCTAGAGAGGGCCCAGGGAGGAAAGGAAGTAGAGGTATTTTTCACCTTATACCCATCTGTGCATTTACTGTGTGTATAATAAAAAATGAGTACTGGAACAGGAATCAAGATCAAGGGAAAAAAAGAAGAAGAGAGTTCAACTTTAAGGAATCCTTAACTTGAAGTTAAACTGAGGAATGATCTGGAAAACTGGCTGCAAGAAGAGCAGAGGCGTGCTGTGTTAATTTCAGCCACCATGTACCGGCAGCCTCCTGGGGGTGGTGGGGGGCTTCTTCCAGATTCCCAGCTTCTTTGGGGGCAGATTCTCATCTAGTCTAGGGAAAAACAACTCAAAGAAGATTTCTGTAATGTCTTTGAGTACAAATCCAGATGACATTTGGGCAAATCATAGGACTTCTCATCAGATGCTATTCACTTTTCTAACTGGTCCAAATGTAACTTTGTGAAAGGGTTTATTGTCAAAGACTGTATTATGGCTGGAGCCTTGGACTATTCTGACTTTATGGTGTAGGGAAAAATCTAGGAAAACTGAATTTCTGGATTAGTCTGAAGCAAATGTGTTGGCTGACTTTTTCCATGAAATATGCTGTGTCCTGAAGGTAGAAGTAAATTTCCCTACAAGCTAATCCTCTCCCTGGTGCTCTTCCACGTTCTGCCCAAAGCCATGAGAGGGAGCAGAAAGCAAACCTGCCTTTCATTCCATCTTCCTTTGCTCTGGCTCTGCATTCATAATTGCGCACAATCTAGCTAATGCAACTGGCCCTAGG